TAATATATTTTGCATTATTCTATCTTTATTAATTTTTTTCATAATAAAATGGATTTTATTGAACAAATAATAAATAGTAAATAGAGAAAATATAAAATATCGAAAAGAATATATTCATATAAACATATATTTGTGAAATCGAAATTTTGTTAAAATTGACTTTCATAGAAATTGTATTTTATAAATTTAATTAAAAAAAGCTGCATTTATCAGATAGAAACATAAAGTAATAAAATAATATATTCCAATCTTCTCAACACACACACACACACACACACACACACACACGCACACAACTTCTCATAACAAATGTTATATAAATTATACATATACAGGATGTAACAACGATCATATATCAGGAGTTTTTAGAAGAAAATACGTATTTTATTGAAAAATGTACGATTTGGCTCTTATTGCCTATCTTATATATGTTAAATTTATATTTATATATTACAGAGCCTAGTTAAACTCTTAATTTATACACGCTGGCTTAAAGGCGTTTATTTACCAACATTAATATATATAACAGAGAAAAGTATAGAATCGAAAGAATCTGAATAGCTCAGTTGGAAGAGCAGTCGCCCGGCAAGCGAAAGGTCTCGGGTTCGATTCCCGATTCTGCGACTTTCGGATCTATATTTTTCTCTCGCACTTTATTTCTTTAGGGGGAATAGGGGATACATGGAATTAAAAATCTCTTGTAGAGATTATTCCAATTTTATATCTTGGCCGTGTCCAAGTAAAAATTTGGTGCCTTGTGCACAGGTATTTAATTCTAACGAAAAAATTTTAGTTTCGTTTAGAATAACGCACTGTCATCCGCGATTTGGCTCTTATTGCCTATCTTATATATGTTAAATTTATATTCATTTTTTTTGTTTTTATATTTTTTTAATTTTTATTCAAAATAATGTATTAGCAAAATCATTTATTGACTTGTAATCATATTATGCTAATCAATGTACAGCATTCATCTTATATGATTTTCATGTATTAACTACCTCATAATACTATTATAAATTAATGTAAAATTTAATTTCCATTACTTTTATAGTTTTATATATGATGAGCAAATGTAAAATATTTCTTATTCGTGTACGTAATATATATTAAAATATAATTATTATATAAATAATTAATTAAAAATATATATAATAAATAATTTATTATATTCATAAAAAAATTTAAGTAATAATTTTTTTCAGCATCGCAAGGTCGGAGCAATAACATAGTCTATATAAAATTACACATTTTTATTTTATTGTAAAATACAATAAATATATATATATATATATATTAATTTTTTTATCCTTACTTTTTATAATTTTTTGTGAAATATATATTCATTCTTTTGTAAACTTATATAGATTCTTTATCTTATATTGATTTTTCTATATATTTTACTTATTTATAAAATATATAATATATAAGTTTATATATATGCACACACATAGATATGACAATAGCGTTATCGTGATTTTTTTCGATTATTGAAGTTATATTGTATAATCTCTCTCTTATTTATCAATTTTTTTACAATATATTAGAATATAGAAAAATTATAGAAATATAAGGCGATAAACTTGAAAATTTTTAAATATTGAAAATATTTTAATCATTTTTACAATTACATACACTATATATATATATATATATATATATATAAATGCAAAATAAGTCCGTAAATAAATTTATCAAGTAATAAATCCGTTGCATGCTTGCAGCTACATATGCACACACAAATAGCTGGTATGTTGATTTTTATTAAAAATTTATTTTCTGTATTATTTTGCATTTATATAGTGTGTATGTGGGTGTGTGTGTGTGTGTGTGTGTGTGTGTGTGTGTGCGCGCGCGCGCGTGTAGTAAAAATATTTTCAATATATTTATAAAATTTTTATTGCCGAAATATATTTTTTTATCATTTCTCTGTATTCCAATATATTATTAAAAAATTGATATTGATATATTTGAACTCTAATAATTTACTGGGTGATACATACTGAACATCCTTTGCATTGATCAATATTACTCGACATAAGTTCTTTTATGTTATAAGTATTTATGTTGCAAATTATACAATAACATCAATAATAGAAAAGAAATCAAGAATAACCAACGCATATTCGTCAATCTATGATTGCTATACAAGCTAATAATAATTTATATTCGTTCTCTTATTCTTGTCTCTCGAAAAAGTATAAGCAATAAATTATCAAATCTAACAAGTACCCGTGTCTAACATTGTAGACTAATTTACTTTCAATTATGCTACTGTTATTATTTATCATTAGACAATTATAAAACATATATATATATATATAGCACTACAAATTATATATGTATATGTTTTATAATTTATTTTATATTTTATTATTTGACAAGTTAAATCTCTCCGAATCATAATTTGCGCTTACATCTTAAAGACGAAATGCTGTAACTCTCTGATATTCCAATCTGTATTTTTGAAAAGGACCACATCCCGTATGGTCGAAACGTTAAAATAAATATATATACAACTTTAATTTGAGGCCAGTGTAGTCAGACCAAATCTATAACCTCTGTTTTATAATTGTCTAATGATAAATAATAACAGTAGCATATATAATTGAGAGTAAATTAGTATATTTTATATATATATATATATTTATATATAAATAATATATCCACATATGTGCATAAGCATATATAAAATTTACAAAAATGGGTGCTTATTAGTCTTGCTACGTTACTGCTTTCTGCTACGGAAGGCCAGAAAGCATTTTCAGGCGGCATCTCGCGTATACCGGCACGGTAGAGGAACAAGGAGAACACGTGATTATCGGTCCTTGTCTCTCTTACGTGCGTCCGCGTGAGCGATGCAGTGGTGTATGTACGTGTACAGACATACACCACTACATAAAACCCGAGAATTGGTTTCTCGGCGTTGGCAACACTGGAACCGGAGTTTCGCGTTGTCACCGCACGAGGTCTCCAATATCAATTCGGAGTTTGCCTGGGTGTACTGCCGACCCTTAAGGGTCGACAGGTCGGTCAGCCAACCTTAATAAAATTTTGTATAAATTATTTATTTATTACAAAGAATTATTTACTTTATAATCAATTATAAAAAATAGGTCTGTTTTTACACACACACACACACACACACACACGCACGCACGCACGCACGCACGCACGCACGCACGCACACAACTTGTTAACTAGAATGTGGACAAAAAAATTTTTACACCCTAATCTACATACATACATACATATTGTACATACATATATATATATATATATGTATATATATATATATATATATGTATGTGACAAACATTTTTTTGTCCACATTCTAGCTAACAAGTTATATGTGAGTGTGTGTGTGCGTGTGTGTGTATGTGTATAACAGGTCTATCTATAATAATTATAATTGATTATAAAGTAAATAATCCTCTGTAATAAATAAATGATTTATATAAAAGTATTTTAGAGATTGAATATAATAATACTATTATTATCAAAACAGAGCAGTAGTAGTTAGATAAGAATAAATCATATAAATCATTTATTTATTACAAAAAATTATCCACTAAAACTTTATAATCAATTATATTTATAAAAGATCAAAAATTTGCACTTGTCACACGCGATGACTTATTTAGAAACATATGTAATGAGACAAAAAACTGACTTTTTATTATCTTGACATTGTTAATTGCCGTCTTTAATGTTCAATATTACATTTCAATTTATATAATATTTGTATTGCGCTGAGGAAGGCTCGAAATGTCAGCCGAAACGTTCGCTCTAATGTGTATTTCTTATGTATATATTATTTCGTTAAAATGCGAATAAATGATCACTTCTTATTTATTTCTCGCTACGTTCAAATGAAGTTTTTTATATTTTTTAATATCAACTGACAACTTGTTATGTTTAATAGCTCTTATAGCCCTTCTTTGTTTACAATTATTAATTTAACAGAGCTTGTTCGGGAGAGATCCGAACTTTTCGCTCGGACTCGCCCTTTCCTCTTGCCTCCCTCGTCCCGCCGCGTGATTAGAGTCGCGACGGGGGCACGAAGGCGGGGGGGGGGGAGGGGCTCCGAGTTCGACCAGAAATTGATCGATTTGGTTCGACTCACTGTCCCTCGCTTCAGGGCGCGAGCCGGGTCCTTTTCCTTTCGGAGACGAATTGGCGAGCTCTTGCTCCCTGTTTTTTGCTCACGTGTCCTCGCTTGTAATTCGGAATCGAATCTGTCTTGATCCCGAAAGGACTTACGTTTTCTCGTGTGAAAGTGCAAATTAATTGTGCCTGAACAGTGTTAGTAATAAAGCTTATTGTCATCAATCAACAGGAGAGTTTTCTTTTCCGCGGGTTCCGATGTTCTTTATAACGCGAAACTTGCCTCTAAGCTCCACATCGTGTTCGCTGCTCTGGGGTCAGTGGAGCCGAGCATATCGCGGAACATTTGATCCTTTGAGCCGGATCCCACGCGGGGTGAAAGATAAAAGATTCTCCTGACACGTGCCTTGCACGTGCCTTACAAATGGGACCTCGTCTCGCAAGCTCGGGGTCCTCCAAGGAGCAGCTGCTAAAGGCAACCGAGAATCGTCTCCTTGCATCGCGAAAAGTGCCTTCTCGTGCATCTTAGTGCATACGGTGCAGTGACGATTCCCGCGAACTTCGTGGGTTCAAAATTCATCACTTTCTTCGCCACGCGGTCCGGCTCGCGAGGTTTCGCGCGTGACGTCATCGCGTGATCATTACGTGTATTTCGCATGGACGCTCGCTCCGCGCGCGAGATCGCCGGAGCGCATTGAATCGAGTCTGCGCAGAGCCGCGCGCGCGTGTAACACGGATTGTCAGCTGTCGCGAGTACAATTTACACGAGGCGAAACTCGCTGCGTGCCGAGGAGAGACATATTTCACTCGGAGAGAGCGCGCCCGCAACGTTTAATGCAGACACGTGAATACGCCGCTTTTCTCTGTTAGCACGGATACACCATTTTCTCGTCATGGAGGATATTATTAAGAAACAAACTGTCTTAGGCGGTTTTATCTCCCGTATGTGGGTAAATTTGCAAAAGCTCGGGCAAGCGAAAATTACTCCGACGGAGATTAATACGCGCACCGAGCGTCTTAACGAATACTGGCGCCAATTTCAAGACCAGCACTTTCTCGTGATTGTGAAGCCGGAAGCCGACAAGACTGAATATGTTCGGCGGGATTACTTCACGACAATCGAGGAAAGCTATTTTGAGGTGCGACACAAATTCGCGGAAGCGTTAGCCGATTTGACTCCGACCCGCGCAACTGGCCAATCGGCGCACGATCGTACGCACGATTCAAGTTTCGGCGACGAGGCGTCTGTATTTAAACAGATGCAATTGCCGAAGATCACGCTGCCGAAGTTTTCAGGCGATCAGCTCGCGTGGGAGGGTTTTCGCGATTTATTCCGCTCACTCGTGCACGATGTCTCAACGATCTCCAAGGTGCAAAAGCTGCAATACCTGAAGAGCAGCTTGACAGGCGAGGCGGCACATGTGGTGGACAGCGTTCCTTTGACCGACGCCGCCTATCAAGGTGCATGGGAGGATCTACTAGCAAGGTACGACAATCCTCGCATTCTTTTGTACGCTCATATGCGTAATTTACTGTCTTGCCCTGCCGCAAGTGCTAAAGCTTCGCCAGCGGAAATAAAGCGCTTACTCGGAGTGACCTTGCGCTCGCTTAGAGCATTTAAGTCGCTTAAAAGACCAGTCGATCACTGGGACGACTGGGTGGTCCATCTCCTTGTAAGCAAATTAGACGCGGCCACCCGCGTTCATTGGGAGACCTCGCTCGCGGACTCTCGAGTTTTTCCCACGTTCAAGGAACTCCAACGCTATTTGGAGAACAGGATACGCGCTTTAGAGGCAGCCAATCCAGAGTCGATTCTCAGCCGATCCACGCCAGCGGTGGTGGAATCTTCGAGGAAGCCCACTCGCGTGTCGTCTAACGCCGCCACGACTTCCAAGCCTAAAGCGGACAAAGGCTGCTCGATGTGTAAGGCAAACCATCTCCTGCCTTATTGCTCGAAGTTCAAGGCGCTGGCCGTCGAACAACGTGGCGAGCACATATGGAAGACTGGGTTGTGCAGCAACTGTCTGCGTTCGGGACACGGAACGGATTCATGTCAGCATACTGGACGCTGTCTGGTGTGCGGAGGTAAACACCATACCGTGGTGCATGGTGGATGTCGTTCAGGGTCGCGTGCGGATGATGGAAAGCGGTCCAAGGCAGAGACGACGAGCGACCTGTCAACTAGTGTTTTGGCGCTCGCTATGAACACTGGTCGAACCATGTTACTTTCCACAGCGGAAGTGCTTCTGCAAGGTCCCACCGGTGAGACTCTGACGGTGCGGGCGTTATTAGACTCAGGTTCGGAGGTGTCTTTTGTGACTGAATCAGTGGTACAATCGCTGCGATTGAAACGCCGAAGTGTTGATGTCGTGGTCGCAGGACTACAGGGCACTCGAACCGGTTCGGTGTCCTCGTCGGTTCGTGTCGCATTGCGGTCTAGACTTTCTCCAGCTTCGGAGATCGCGGTGGACGCGTTCGTTCTTCGTACGCTCACTAACCTTATCCCGTCTAGGCATGTTTCAGGATGCTCATGGCCTCACATTCAGGGTCTGCAGTTAGCCGATCCGCGCTTTGATGTGCCATCTCGCATTGACGTCATCCTGGGCGCTGACGTTTACGGTCAGGTGCTACAACCGGACGTACGACATGGTGAACCTGGTTCGCCTACAGCGCAGCTCACTTCGCTCGGCTGGGTGTTACTCGGAACATTATCTACACGCAGCGGAGGTACCGTAAACAGCCAGTTGTCGGTCCATCACGTACAGGCGCGAGATGCGCTGGCTGCTGTTCTCCAACAGTTTTGGGAACTGGAAAATGTTGGAGCGGACAAACCGTTGAGCCCTGAGGAGGAACAAGCTGAGCAGCACTTCGTGAGCACGCACTCCCGTGACGCGGACGGGAGATACGTAGTGCGTTTGCCACGCCGCACGGGACCCACTCGACTAGGGGCATCTCGACCAGCGGCGCTATCAATGTTGCTGTCCTCGGAAAGGCGGCAAGCGAGGCAGCCGGAACTTCGGCGAAAGTACAACGACTTCCTGACGGAGTATTTGGCGCTGGACCACATGGAGATCGTCCCACGAGGGCACGCAGCTCCTAGTGAGGCGTACTACATGCCACACCACGCCGTCTTTAAGGCGTCTGATCCGGCGTCAAAGATCCGTGTAGTTTTCAACGCCTCTGCCCGTACTACGTCAACTTACTCCCTGAACGACTGCCTGCTCCCAGGGCCGCGACTCCAGGCGGATCTTTGGCTGGTCATCACTTGATGGCGCATGTTCCGAGTCGGCTTTTTGGCAGACATTGTCAAAATGTTTCGCCAGGTCCGGATCCATAAGGAGGATGCAGATCTTCAGCGCATAGTCTGGCGCCCGGAGTTAACGGGAGAAGTCCGTGACTTCCGTCTCTTAACCGTAACTTACGGTACGACCCCCGCGCCATTTTTAGCGCTTCGTACTTTACACCAACTGGCGCAGGACGAAAGCTCTCGCTTCCCGGATGGTGCAACCGCTCTACTACGCCACTCTTATGTGGACGATATTTTGACGGGTGCCCACGACTTGGAGGGAGCACGGGAGTTGCAGAATCAGCTGGTGGCTATACTTCGAGAGGGCGGCTTCGCCCTGAGCAAGTGGGCGTCCAACGACCCGTCCCTCTGTATCAGAACCGGACAGGAGGAATGCGTGCTTCCGGTGGGCGAAGTGGTCAGCGCACTTGGCATTCGGTGGGACCCAGCTGCCGATACCCTTACGTTGAAGGTGACTTCACCCTCGGATCACAAGGCCGTCACGAAGAGGGTGGCGCTCTCCGAAGTGGCTCGTTTGTTTGACCCCTTGGGATGGGTCGCACCGGTCTTAATCTTCGGTAAGATCTTCATTCAAGATCTGTGGGTGCGAGGATGTGACTGGGACGAGCCTCTGGACACGGAGTTGGAGCGTTTATGGACCACATTTCGATCTTCGTTGCCGGTTCTCGATGGCGTCCGGTTGCCCAGGTGGGTCCAGACGGGTGCGGGGACCGGGGATACTCAGATCCACGGATTCTCCGATGCATCGGAGAGAGCATTTGCGGCGGTTCTCTACTTGAGAGTCGTCAAGCCTTCAGGCCAAGCGCTGACAACGCTCTTGGCCGCCAAGACGAAGGTGACACCTGTGAAGACGCAGAGTGTCCCTCGGCTGAAACTTTGCGGGGCTGTCTTGCTCACCAGGCTTTTGGACAGAGCAACGAGAGTACTCAACCTTTCGGCGATACCCGTCTTTGCCTGGACGGACGCACAAGTCGTCCTAGCATGGCTCCGTTCGCACGCTTCGAGATGGAAGCCGTTCATCGCGCACCGGGTCTCTGAAATCCAGTCAACGCTGCCAAGCGAGTGCTGGGGCTATGTTCAGACGGCCTCGAATCCTGCGGATCTGGCGATACGGGGAATCCACCCTACCGAACTCTTAAGATCGGAGCTATGGTGGCATGGCCCGTCCTGGCTGCAACAACCACAGACGAGCTGGCCTCGTCTGGACGCACCTCAGTGCACAGCATGGAAGGAAGAACAGAGAGCCGTAGCAGTACTCACTGCTCACGCGGACATCGACGACGAACCTCTTTCACGCTCCCTCTCCCTCTTCCCCTCACTCTTCGCTCTGTTACGTGCAACAGCTTATTGTTTCAGATTTGTTCGAAACGCTAAAGGAAAGGATCCCAAGACTTCTGGTTTTCTCACTCAGGCTGAACTGCAGGATAGTCTAACCGCGTGGGTACGCTACGCCCAATCGCCGTTCCACTTGGAAGGCGAAGCATTGAGGGCGGGGCGATCAATCCCGGTGCGATCGACCTTGAGGACGCTTCAGCCCTTTCTAGATGAGAAAGGTCTACTTCGGGTCGGAGGCCGACTGCATGCTGCCTTTCTACCATATGCCGAAAAGCATCCCTTGATTTTGCCGAAGACAGGGCGCTTTACTTGGCTCATCGTGCAGGATGCGCACGCGGCCACAATGCACGGGGGTCCACAGCTAACTCGGAGTCATCTTCTCCGCAAATACTGGATTGTCCAGGGTGGCTTGCTGACTCGGCGCATCGTGCGGGAGTGCGTGCGCTGCACTCGCTTTCGACAGGAAACTGGGCAGCAGCGGATCGGACAGCTTCCGTCGGTGAGACTTCGCCCGTCTCGACCCTTCCTTTCGTCCGGAGTGGACTTCGCCGGACCAATCAAGGTTCGTGCGTCGAAGGGCCGAGGTCGCACGGCATTAAAGGGCTACATCAGTCTCCTTATCTGTTTGGCGACGAGAGCGATCCACTTGGAGGCGGTCTCTGATCTCTCGACTGAGGCCTTTATCGCAGCATACCGTCGCTTTACTTCGCGACGAGGTCGCTGTGCGGAGTTGATGTCAGACAACGGCACCAACTTCCGCGGAGCAGACCAGGAACTTAGGCGGATGCTGAGGGCCGCGTCTGACGCTGGTTCGCACTTGGCGAACGAAGGAACGACGTGGACCTTTATCCCTCCTCACGCACCGCACTTCGGTGGAATCTGGGAAGCGGGTGTCCGGTCAACCAAACACCATTTAAGGCGTATCGTCGCCGATCACGCCCTCACTTTTGAGGAGCTCTCCACTGTGTTGTGCCAAATAGAGGCATGCTTAAATTCCCGACCTCTCTATCCTCTCAGCTCCGATCCTTCTGATCTGACCGCCTTGACCCCTGGTCATTTCCTAGTGGGTGAGACTCTTACGAGCATTCCTGAGACGATAACTCCAGATGATTTGCCAGCTCCGCATAACCGTTGGCGTCTACTCACTAATATGCGGGATCATTTTTGGCGCAGGTGGTCAAAAGAATACCTGCATCATTTGCAGCAGTCATCTAAGTGGCTGCAAACCAGGAGCAATATCCGAGAGGGAACCTTAGTCCTGATCAAAGACGACCTCCTCCCCCCAACAAAGTGGGCGATGGGCAGGATTGTCGACGTCTTTCCCGGACCCGATGGATTGGTGAGAGTGGCGGACGTACGAACAGCCTCCTCCGTCCTACGGAGATCGGTCACGAAGCTGTGTCCACTGCCCGTGCCGATCGAACAACGAGAGGCGTAGGATAATCCACTCAGGATTTGTCATTTTATTGTAAACCATCCCTTCGGGATTTAAATTTTTGTAACTGCTTAGATTACGCGATTAAGGGGATGCCGGAGGTCTACTATTATCGGCCGAATCAATTATATTTTCCAACACCAAGAAGTTTTTATTGCGTTAATAGAATAACAAATGCTTTTCCACGATTAAAGTTAATACAATAATAAACTGCGAAGCTGTCTCAATTTGTGATAAAAAGACAAAAAATTTTAAATACGAGTTTTTTTCTGGCTTCTCGCGTCACGTCATAACAATATTTGCTTGTATAAAAGTTTCACAATTTATACGTACAAAATAAGACCACTTTGCGGAAAAGATTGCATAAAGGAATATTAGTGAGCTTGCAGAAATAAGTTTAAAAGTCTAATAAAAAAGATCTTGGTTATGGAATATTTCATTCACATGTGTATGTGCAAAATGACATTTGGGAATAATACAGAGCACAAAATTAGTTGCGCGATGTCGCGATAGATGGAGCTGCAATCGTGCAGTTAGACAAGGACAGACAGTCATATTATCTTTGTCTCTCTCATGCTGTCTTGTCTTCTGACCACGGTGTGTATACGACCGTGCTTCTGACTCTCTCTCTCTCTCTCTCTCTCTCTCTCTCTCTCTCTTTCAAATTGCTCGTTCATAATTGTATGCGAGTGATTTGAGAAAGAGAAAATATGCTTTCTAAAAGTATGTAGATATAATATGCCAATATTATATATGTATATATATATATATATATATAATACATATATGTATATATATATATATACAGGGTTTGTCCGGAAAGTAATGCGTCGCATTTTTTTAAAAAAGAATTTATTGATCGCATAGGTAAAACAACTTAAAATTGTTCGAAGTATGACCCTTCTGCGTCAATACATTTTTGCCAACGCGATTTCCATGCGTCATAAGATTTCTGGAACTCCTTGACTGGGATGCTGTTCAGGGAGGCCGTCGAAGTAGCTTGTACGTTGTCAACCGACTCGAGCTGTTGTCCTTTGAGCTCCCTTTTCAGCCGAGGAAATAAAAAAAAGTCCGCCGGGGCCAAGTCGGGACTGTAGGGCGGCTGCGGCACCGTTGCCACACCGATCCGGGTCAGGTAGGCCGTAATAACAAACTTTATCGCATAGCGTTGCTCTATCGTTCTCTCCATCACAAGTTCGACGCGACCACTAAGCAGAGGTTCACAGAATAAGCCGTCCTAACCCTCCAAGCGCATGGAAACAATTGAGCGACCTACCGTTGGAAAGCTAAGGGTACCCCCCTTCCTCCCCAACCGGTCCCATCGCTCTGCGATGTATAGTCGCGTCACAAAAAAATGCGACGCATTACTTTCCGGACAAACCCTGTATATATATATTTTTATCATATATTTTATATATATATTTTTTTATCAAATATTCCGATTTATTATGTACGTAAAAATGCGCGTCAGATCTTTCGTATTCGCGCGGTATCAGTAGTATGTACAATATGTACCACAGTAATCCGCGCGTATTATACGTTGATATGATCTACTGTGCGACGCCTTACTCACGTCGCGCGGTGCTATACACGTTCATACGCGTAAAAAGCAGCGTATACTTGAGTTTGTGTGTTGTCCACACCATGGGACGAAAATATGACGCCAAACATTTGCCCCTTTCGAAACGTAGAGTTTTCTTCAAGAAGGGCTGGATGTACAGGTTAGTTTATTTATATACATTTTCTATATATGCATACATACACATACATATATATATATATATATATATATATATACATATATATAATATATACACATATCTATTGATTTATTTAGCAATCTGTCTATCTATCGAACTATCTATCATCTATCGATCAACCTATCTATCTATCTATCTATCGATCTATCTGTCTCTTTTCTCTTTTCTACATTGCATTCTTTTATATATGCACACGTATATAATAATTTTTTTAAAATATTGTACATTACAAAAGTAAAAATAATTAAATTTATAATCTAAAAATATATAAAAATCTTTTATGAATATAATAATTACAAAGTTTTAATAGATAATTTTTTGTAATAAATAAATGATTTATATAATTTATTCTTATCTAACTACTGCTCTGTTTTGATAATAATAGTATTATTATGTATTCAATCTCTAAAATACTTTTATATAAATCATTTATTACAAAGAATTATTTACTTTATAATCAATTATAATTATTATAGATAGGCCTGTTTATACACATACATATATATATATATATATATATATATATATATATATATATATATATATATATATATATATATTGTGTGTAAGTGTGTGTATGTGTATAAACAGGCCTATCTATAATAATTATAATTGATTATAAAGGGCCGATGTAAGTGGCCGACGGCACACCTTCGGCGCGGAAAGCGGGAAATTCGCGTAGATACCGAAAATTACGTTTAATTGGGCGCCAGGCGCGAGATTCGCGCCACTCTGAAAGTTTACAAATCGACAGATGACCTTTATAATCCGTAAATCATCCCGAAAATTTCCGCGACGGCGATAATCGACTCGCTCAGATCGTCAGGGGGTAGAGGGGGAAGTTCGGACGGGAGAGAGAACGGAATGCGAGAGAGGCTATTTAAAATCGCTCAAATGTAACAAGCATTGAATATATTTGAACAATGGTGAATGAAGATAGACAAAAAAGTAATTGTATAAAAGCTTGAGTAAAATGTTAGGTCAAGAAAGGAAAATCAATATTCTTTCGGTATACTACGGAGGGATCTCCGTTTTAGTGACGCCGAAATACAAATAAACGAGTCCGAAATTTGATTCGGACAATACAATACGGCGTATTTACGGCCGAGACGCGGCGCGTTGTTATTATTCCGCGCCTTTGAGACGACCCAACGCGGTGACATCGGACGACACGCGGGACCCAGAAGTAAATTAGCACGCCTACGTGTCGAATAATTATTACCGCACGAGACTTAATAAGGTCCGTGCGGCGTAATTAATTCTGAGGGTTGTAGGCAATACAAAATTTCCGTAAACTGTAGTAGGTCCCGCGCGACTTTCTTTGAGATCAATCACGCCGGTCGTCCCTCGCACTATATTACAAAGAATCAGAAGACTGCGCGGATAATGATATGCGCGAGAAAGAATACGCTATTTCTGATGCGTGACTCTAGACAATTTTCTATTCTCAGATATAGAGACTCTAACAGGCGAGAACGACACAATAATCACGAGACGAGACTTTTGTTCTACATTAATGTAACGAAATCGCGGTGACTGTCGGCGTATCCGCGGGAGAGAGAGCCTCTCTTAATATACGCGCGGGAGAGAGCACGCGGTCGGCCGGGCGCCGGGATAAATTCCACGCGGAACGAATCTCTAAATTAAACCTCTCGTAATATCGCGAAATGACACCGGTGAATATTTAATAACCGGCCGCGGCCGTGACACGCGTCTCTCTCGAATACTCTACTCACAAACGAACGAATTTAGCGGCTTTACAAAATTATAGGGCCGTTCGTCTCACCGGTATCGGTGGGTCCTTCGATGCTTCGGCATCCGCACGCAGGAACCTCTGCCCTCGACAACGCTCCGCCAGACAGTGACGAGCAAGAGGCCTGCCGGGATCACGCCAATAATAAATTGGGCATTTTCCACCCGTGGCGCTCCTTATCCTGGCAGGGCTGCCGGGCGTCCCGCGGGGCCCTGTTAATTCGCTTGAGAAAAATTTCTCTCGCCGTTCCTCTTTTCTTCCGCATTGAGTTCCGCTGTTCCTCTATATTGTTCGTCGGGAAGACTCCTACGAGCGCGCCTCTTTGCTGTTCCTCCCAAAAATCCGCTAGATCGATTGTTTGATCGATGATGAAATTTCGTGTATCCGGATCTGCGGAGGCTCGAGGCAGGGTATCTCCCGCGCCTTTTGTTTCCGGGGCTCTCTCGCGAGAGAGTGGCCATCCCCGTCTCTTGCTGGAATCTCTGCGAAAGAAAGAACCTTTTATGGCGGTATCCCGGTTCTTAACGGGAGGAGCAATCCCGAAAACCTATGTGTGAATAATATTTACCGGGCGTGATCCGGACGTGGTGGCCTCTGCTCAGTCCGAAATCGTCCTCTTCGTTTTCTCCGTCCTCTCACCCTCTCTCTCGGTTTCTCCGGTTGAGACACGGACCCTATGCAAAATTGCTCGCCGAAAACGCAAAAATTGCTTAAACAAAAATTATAAATAAAGTAATTCGCGAAACGGGTGCGCGGAGCGCATCCTCCGACGCGGAAGAAAACGCAAAAATGATTTTTCGGGTGCTCTCTCTCTCTCTCTCTCAAAGATTGGCGAGAGAGCAAAGGTTTCCGAATTTCCCGCCTTCCCGGCCGGGCCCTTTGGCCCTTGTGACGGACAGTAAAAAAATGTCACGTCACAATATATATATATATATATATATATATATATACATATATATATTTTTCTTTATAAACATTTTCTACGCTTACATACGCATACATACATACATATATACATACATGCATGCATATAAAGAAATATACTAACCTTTTCATTCAGCTTTTCTTGAAGGAAACTCTATGTTGACAAAGAGGCAGACGTTTTGCGTTATATTATTCTATGTATGAGAGAGACAAAGATAATATGACTGTCTGTCCTTGTCTAACTGCACGATTGCAGCTTCATCTATCGCGACATCGCGCAACTAATTTTCTGCTCTGTATTATTTTTAAATGTCATTTCGCACATACACATGTGAATGAAATATTCTACAATCGAGATCTTTTTTATTAGATTTTTAAACTTATTTCTGCAAGGTCACTAATATTCCTTTATGCAATCTTTTGGAGAAAGCGGTCTTATTTTGTACGTATAAATTGTGAAACTTTTATACGAGCAAATTTTGTTATGACGTGACGCGAGAAGCCAAAAAAACTCGTATTTAAAAATTTTTTGTTTTTTTATCACAAATTCAGACTGCTCCCTCCTT